TGAGGAGGGGGTACCGGGCGGAGGAAGCTGGGGAGGGGATACCGGGCGGAGGAAGCTGGGGAGGAGGTACCGCGTGGAAGAAGCGGGGGACATGGCAGTCTGGGGCGGGGGTACCAGGTGGAAGAAGCGGGGTACGTATCAGTCTGAGGAGGGGGTACCGGGCGGAGGAAGCTGGGGCGGGGGTACCGGATGGAAGAAGCAGGGTACATATCAGTCTGGGGAGGGGGTACCGGGCGGAGGAAGCGGGGTACAGGCCGGTCTGGGGAGGGGGTACCATGCAGATGAAGCGAGGTACCGGTCCAGTGTCTGGAGAGGGTACCAGTCCAGTCTGGAGTGTGGGGACCAGGCGGAAGGACCGGGCCGGGGTACGAGTTCTCCTGACACCGCTCTCCCCACAGTCCTGGAGCGGTGGTGGGGCCCAAAGCGCATTGACTACTCCCTGTACTGCCCCGACGCGCTGACCGCCTTCCCCACCATCACCCTGCCGCACCTCTTCCACGCCAGCTACTGGGAGTCCTCCGACGTGGTAGCCTTCATCCTGCGCCAGGTGTGCTGGGGGGATCCGGGAAGGGAGGGGCCAGCGGGTGTCGTGAGCATGGTGGGGAGCGAGCAGTGGCCAGTGCCCTGTGCCCGGGGGGCTGGTGCCCTGCGGCGGGGAGGGGCGCGGGCGGTGGCCGTGGCTGGGGGTGCTGAGGCCGTGCTGCTATTGCAGGTGATCGAGAAGGAGCGCCCCCAGCTGGCGGAGTGCGAGGAGAGCTCCATCTACAGCCCCGCCATCCCCCGCGAGAAGTGGCAGCGCAAGCGCACGCAAGTGAAGATCCGGGTACGCCGCCTCCACCCGCCTGTGCCCGAGCAGGGGGCTGGCTGGGGGGTGACGCGGGCCTGGGCAGGAGATGGTGCTGCTGGGGAGGGTGGGCAGAGGAGAGTGGGGGTGAGGGCGGTGGGGGCCCAGGTTGAGGGGTCTGGGAGGAGCGAGTGGGGAGGTGGGATTGAGTCCTTGGGTTTGATGGCTGGGTTATGTCATTGGGGTGATGCAGGGTCAGCAGTACACCCCTGGCCCCCAGCTGGGCTGGGCCAGGCTCCGGGGGCATGGGGCTTTGGACGGGAGGCTGGACTCAGCCCCAGCTGTGCTGGGCCGGGCTCCGGGGACATGGGGCTCTGGACGGGAGGCTGGACTCAGTCCCAGCTGTGCTGTCTGAGCTCAGGAAGGCCCCCCTGGGATGGGGGGAGAGACCCCAGCAATCCTTGGGGGGGGGGGAGGAAAGCAGGCGCCACTAACCCCCCTGCCCTGCCCCGCAGAACGTGACGTCCAACCACCGAGCCAGCGATGTCATCGTGTGCGAGGGGCGGCCCCAGGTGCTGAGCGGGCGCTTCATGTACGGCCCCCTGGACGTGGTGACGCTGACCGGGGAGAAGGTACCGGTGCTGTGGGGGAGAGGCGGGGTCCCCCAGGGGGGCTGGGAGGGGGAACCCTGGCACTAGTGCCCTGGGGTGCCATGCAGCT